GATCACCCCAACTGCTGCCCTGCCAGCTGGATCACCCCCAACTGCTCGCTTGACTGCCTGATCACCCCTAAGTGCCTCTGCCTGCAAGCCTGATAGCCCCTAACTGCCCTCCCCTACCAGCCTGGTCACCCCTAACTGCCCTCCCCTGGCGGCCTGGTTGCCCCTAAGTGCCCTCCTCTGACAGCCTGATCACCTGTAACAGCTTCTGCCTTGGCCCCCAACACAGTGGCTTTGTCCAGAAGGATGTCTGGATGGATGTCCGAAAGATGTCTGGTCTAATTAGCATATTACCCCTTTTTTGGTATAGATAACATATATGCCCCTAAAAAGTTACAGCTCTGGACACAGGAAGTGCTGCAGTTTTTCCCTCTCCAGAGCTGCAGTCGCCACCTGGAGGTTATAGGGCTGCCCTCGAAGTCCTCAGCATCCTCCTGTCAGGCAGGGCAAACATGGTGGTGGACTCCACAATGGAACTGCTATTTTTAGATACTTTTAAACACCCCAGCACTGAGGTAACACTCCACTTCTTGATTCTGACTCTGCTTCTAGACTGTGGGACATGTACAAAAAATCTTTAGGCATGCCTCGACTTTTGCGATCAGGATCACGGGCCGCAGGCAAGCGGCTCTTGGGTCCCGGGGGTGCTGCCTTGCCTGCAGCCCAGCTTTCCAATCACAATCACCGGCTGGGGGATGGGCAAAGGCAGCCCCAGCTCTTGCCTGCCGCCTGGATTTCTGATCACCATTCTTCCATCCTTCCCCTTTCACCTGCCATCATTGTGCCTACATATGCAAATTAACCACTATCTTTGTTGGCAGTTAATTTGCATATCGCCCAGATTAGCCAATGGGAAGTGTAGCGAAGGTACGGTCAATTACCCTGTTTGTCTTTTATTAGATAGGATTAGGAAGCCTATGAATAAATAGTGTGAGATAAATTAACTTGAACATTTACTAAGTGCCAGATACTGCTATAGGTTCTGGGAATTATTGACATAAACTTCCAAACCCGTAAAAAATTTTATGAGTTTGAGCCAAACTGATGACCATTGCCAGGAAGCAAAATCCCAATGCTCCAAAGAATGGCAGATTTGCAGTTTATTTTATGCATTATAATGAAAGATGGAGGCATAAGGAAGGTTACATTAAATTTACTGGTGGTAGATTAGGGAGATGGGAGAAAGTAAAGTGGGGAAATTTCTAAGATTGGGTTAAAGTCAAATACCTCTTTTACATTGCTAGGTATGTGATATGTTGTGATCTATAATACGTATTTTGTTCTTTGTCTACAGTTCCTGGCTCCCAGCTCTCAACACCCTGAAATTTCCTAACCACATAGGATGGTCTGAAATTAAAACTTCCTAACTAAAAGTGAGTCATGGGGAGTAGTCATGTCCTAGGCCAGTATCTCCCTTGACAGAGGTCAATTTTTACCTTAACTGAGTCTGTCTATTGTCTTTTTGCATCTAGGATATTAAACTTTTGAAATATCAGAATAATTTCCTGGGCTAAGTAAAGTGGGGATAACAAAATTATCTCCGTTAAAGAAAACCTTTTATGCCTGAAGTCTTTTCTGAAACAAAGGGTTTATTGAGCCAAATGCTAGCCCAAAAAGGACAGATTCTGGAGCATGCAGTCTAAACCACCAGCAGCACAGCTAGAGGGGGAAGGCAATATGTCTTCTGTCCTGGAGTTGATGAACTCTTTTATATATTACTAGAGGCCCAGTGCACAAATTCATGCACAGGTGGGGTCCAGACAGCCCAGCCCCAATCAGTGTGGATTGGGGCAGGGCCGGCTGTGGGGAGGGGCCAAGGGTGATTGGCCAGTGGGCCCACCCCTGATTGGGGTGAGTGGCCGATTGAGGGCAGGCAGGGCCAGCTGTGGGGAGGGGCTGTAGGTGGTGGGCCAGTCGGCCCCACCCCTGATTGGGGTGAGTGGCCGATTGAGGGCAGGCAGGGCCAGCTGTGGGGAGGGGCTGTAGGTGGTGGGCCAGTCGGCCCCACCCCTGATTGGGTTTGGAGGGCCGATCTGGGGTGGGGCCGGGTAGAAGGAGGGGCTGCAGGAGATTGGCTGGGAAGCCCTGCCCCCTATTGGGGTGGGGGGAAATCAGGGATGGGGCGCCTGGGAGGGCAAGGAGGAAGGGCCTTGGGGGGGTTGGCCAGCTGCCCTGATCTCGATTGGGGTGGGAGAGGCCGATCAGGGGTAGGGCCAGCCGGGGGGAGGGGCCGCAGGCTCTGCCCCCCCATCAGGTGGGTTCGCTGGCCACAGTGGATGTCATAGCGACCGGTCATTCTGGTCATTATGGCATTATAGTCACTGGCTTTTTATATATATAGATGTTTCAGGGAAGAAAGATGTAACTTGTTTTGAAAGAATTTATGTTGGCTACAGATAAGGCGGTGGGAAAAGGTGAAGGGGGGCAGTTCTAGAATAGATGTACAGTCCTTAAGGAAGAAATATTTACCACTTTTGATTGGTGCTGGACAAGTTCTGCAAGTTCATGCATAAGCAGTATGTTGCGGTGTCTAGTGGTCCATTATTTCTTTTCAGATAACCCCCTGAAGTTGATTCAAAGCTCCAAGGTACATTCAGGAATGTGAGCACTCTATTGTTAGTTAGCCCACAGCTGGCTAAATACTCTTGTTTTTTCTCTCACTCTCCTGCCTGCAGTAATTTAATTTAGCACACCTCAGAATTTTTCTCGTCACCTTTATTGTGAAGTTGTTCTGAAGATCACTGACTCAGTCCATGTACATACTAAACAGTTAGTGTTAGCTATGTGGGTCTGTATGGGCAAGTGGCAGGTAAAGGCTTTAATGGTCCATGCTCATCACAGACACAGGACAGCTTTCAATAACCTGGACAGGGTACTGTGTTGGGGAGAAATAGCTGGGAGTCTGCCTGGATGAACATGGCATTGTCAGATAGACAGTGTTGGGAAGATCACATGGGAAGGACATCTCACAGAGCAGAAGCAGGATTTTAGAGCATCAAGTATATTTACTCTTGTCTTTCTATTTACCTGCAGTGCTGGCCAGCTTAAAGATCTGGATGGGAAACTGTTTCCTAGCTGGGTGACTCATCTGTCTATGTGTACAGATAGAGATTTGTCTGGCTTCCTGAGTGTCTACCTGTCTTGATGGAGGAGTGGGGTGGGGTGGAGGGGTGTCTGTTGTCTTTCTGGCCTGGGGTTTGCATGTCTACACACATAGGGGTTTGTCTGAGGGTCTTATGAAGCTGGGAGTCATTCTATCTGGAGCTCATTTTTCCAATTGAATCAATCTACTTGGAGGTTCATGAGTCTGTTTGGCTAGGAGCTGGTATGTCTGTCTGGGTCAGTCTATTTGTCTATAAGGCTAGAGATCTGTCTTGCTGGATACAGATTTGTTTGCCAAGATGACAATGTGTCCATCTACCCAAGGGTTGGGGATCTATCTGGCCAGGGGTCTGTGTGAACAGCAAGGAAACAGTCTGGTTGGGGAGGGTCTTTCTCTCTGGCTGGGCTCTTTCTAAATAGGATCTGACTTGCTAGAGATCAGTCATCTGTCCAGAGGAGGGTCCACCCATTCATCTGGTTTGAGGTGACTGTCTAGTTTGGAATTTAACTAACCAATTGGCTTGAAGTCCACTTACCTCTCTGGCTGGGGATAGTCTCACTGTAGAAATGGGAGTCCATCTGTCCAATTAAGGGTCATTGGGGTCCTATTTTTCTGAGGGGCTGGAGGTCCCTCTGGCTAGTAGGAAGTCTGTTTGAAGGATCTGCTGATCTACAATGTATGCCTAGCTGGGAGGTAGTCAGGATTCTGTCTGGCTCATGATGCTCATGTTGACTGCCTGGGAGTTGACCTGATTGTCTTCCCATCAGGAGGTACAGCAATTTGTCTGCCAAAATGTGGGTTCTGTGTAGTTGGTGACTTAGTGGAGTTTGTCCACCTGTCTGGAGGTCCACCTATCTGCCGGGTTGTGAGTCTAGCCGGCTGATTGGGGTATCTGTGTATTGAAGGGTCTGTCTATGTGACTGTTGTCTATTTGGCTGGGAATCCATCTAGCTAGCTGGGAGTCTCTCTGCCCACCAGGGGGAGGGCATATCTGGCTAGCTAAGAGGATGCCTATGTGTCCATCCAGCTGTGTGAACTGTCCCTCTGAAAGTCTACTGGTATGGCTATCTGCCTGTCCAGCTTGGGGATCTCTCTCTCTCTCTACTCATCTGAAGATCTTTTCACCTGTCTAAAATCATCCTACTTGCCCTAGGATGGTTTGGCTCAGTGGATAGAGCATTGGCCTGCGGACTGAAGGGTCCCAGGTTCAATTCTGGTTAAGGGCACATGCCAGGGTTGCAGGCTCAATCCCCAGTAGGGGGCATGCAGGAGGTAGCCGATCAATGATTCTCTCATCATTGATGTTTCTGTCTTTCTCTCCTTCTCCTTTCTTCTCTGAAACCAATAAAAATATATATTAAAAAATAAAATAAGCCTACTTGACTATTGTCATGCCTAGCTTGGATCTGTCTGAATAGTGGGGGATAGTCTTTCTCAAGGTCCATCCATCTTTCTGTATCATCAGCTGAATGTCTGAGGAAGGGAGTCTTAGATACTGAGATGAACTGGTCTATTATGTGGTGATGGGGGCAGTCTCCAGAAGCCTATCTGTTCATCCTCCCCTTCACAACTGGGGGGCCCTTGGGGTTGAACCCATCCCTAATGTTCATTCTTGAACTACCCAGGTCAGTCTCACCAATCATTATCTCCCAGCTACCACCTCAAGCCTTGAATGCTATAGTTACTGGGACAAAACCCGCACATTTCCCACTCTGAGAATTTTTATTTTGATCCAGGCCCAGTGTTTCCATTCCCAACACTTCACAAAGCAGAGCACAACCTTCAGCAGTCCAGGCACCCATGTGGGGTAGCAGGCAGGCTGGGCGCAGCATTCACACCCGGGTCCACTCCGCAGGAGGGTCCCGGGGCCCTTTAGGCCTCCCAATGCGCAGGTTGAAACCTGGGAAAGTAAGGGCACCATGTGTCTCAGGGAGAAGTTAAGATGTGGAGAGGTAAGCAACTTAGGTAAAGCCATCTTCAAGCCTTCAGACTCTCCTGGTTCACTGCAGCCTCATCCACAGAACTCCGAGGCCCAGAGCCCCATGCCACCATCCTTAAAACACCATACTTCTGGAATTCAGTCAAAGCTGCAGAGTCCCAGAAACTTGGGCTTTGTCTGACTTACCTAGACCACTGGCCTGAGATCCACCAGCCACGTCCTCGTATGTGCCAGGC